TCTGAGAACAAGCGAGTGAGTTCCACACAGCCTGGATTTGGGGTGCTCTTGCTCCCAACTGGAAGCTAACAGTAGTTTGGAGTCCACGCGCGTGTGTGCTCTAGGACTTTCCCAGTCAACAAAAGGCTACAGAGAAACGGAACTGCCCACCAAGCAGGTCCTCTTTCCAATAATTTCCCCGTGACTTGGAATCAGGGAGAGGTTTGCTGACATCCCTTAAGAAAAGTGAGTTTGGGGCCCCCTGCTGGTGCAGGGGTCAAAGCACAGCACCGGGAAGCTGTCCACAGCCACTGCCGGCTGAGGGCTGAGGGCTGAGGGCTGAGGGCTGAGGGCTGAGGGCTGAGCTCCAGCCCCGGCCAGGGAGGGACGCCCAGGGCGCGGCAGACCTCTCCTGACCCGCCAGCTGCTCCCCTCGGCAGTGGGTGTCCGTCTATCTGCCCGTTCTGCTCCCTGCTCTGTCTCTGAGGAAGCCTCTCACGGCCCCTGCACCTCTGGCCTGGACCCCAGTTCTGTGTGCAGAAAATCAATCTCTAACCAAAGAGAGAGAGAGAGAAAGAAGTGAATTTTGCTTGTCTTGCTCCATTTTGTGGGGCTTTTTTGGTTTTGGGTTTTCTCAATGGCTTAGGAAGAGTCGGGAAGGCGACTGGCCAGCCCAAGCTATGTTCACTTTTAGGGTTCCTGCTGTTAAACCCAAGCGTGCTGTGCCCTTCGACAACACAGAATTGACCACAGCCTAATGAGCGCTGCTGGAGGACTTCATGGTGTGAGGTGGCCCTACCTGCCGCTGGCACCATCTGCGCCCTGCCAAGTACGTACAGGTTGCTTCAATCAACCCTCAAGTCGCGCTGCTGCTCAAGAGCAGCAGTCGGGCCCCAGAGATGGCCGAGCAGCTCAGGGCGGGCCAGTCCGTTTGGTGAATTCACACAGCTGAGAGCGGCGGAGCTGCAACCCCGAGGCAGCGCTTGGCGTCTCGGTCGGTGCCTCTCCCTGAAAACTATGGAAACCCTGTTGGAACGCTGGCTTCGCCTGCTGGCAGGATACCATCAGACCACAGATGTTTCCAGGCACGGACTTCACGCCACCGACATGCCAATGGCTTCGTTTACATCCCCAAGCCTAGAGACTCCCCGAACTCTGCCCGGGAATGTCCAGTGGCCACCTCCAGGTAGCGCTCCCCTCCGAGCTCCCCAGCCCCTGCCTGTCCCAGAAACGGGCAGCTTGGGGGTGGCACCTTGGGGATACATCCAGAATTCAGGACCTTCGCGGAGCGAGGCTCTATCATCTCTTACCCGCTCGCCAGCCTCCCAGGCAGACAGACGCCTGCTTTTGGGTCTTGTGATGCAACGGCCTGTGTACACTGCGAGCCGGCTCCCGTCTCAATTCCACGTCTTTCTCTGGTCCTACGAGCCCCCCAGTGTCGGCAGGTACCTAGCCCGCCCCCCAAGGAAACACAAAACTCTCAAGTACCCCCACCCTCCCTCTCCAGGCGCCGCACGCCTTGCAGCTGGGCGTCCAGCAGTCTAGGCCTCTCTCCACCTCAGGACATTTGCACTTGCTGTCCCCAGCTGAGGACGTCATTCCGCAAGCCGTCCCCGAAGCTGGCACCCTGCCCTAACCGGCGGCGACTCCTTCCACCACGCGACCAGCCAAGGATGTGTGGGCATCTCTCTGCCTTTGTTCAAAATTCCTGCGAAATGGAAATTCTCAAAAAAAAAGAAAAAAAAAGACACAAGCCCAAACTGATAAAGACGGAATTCGAGCCAACCCCTCGGGCTCCTAGAGAAACGAAGCATCTGCCGCCGTAGGGTGAGAGAAGGGGTGCAGCTTAGCCCGGCGCCGAGCCGTCGCGGCCCCGCCGGGGCGCACACAGTGCCGGGGCAGCAGCCGCGCCCAGGCCGGAGACCGGGGCCCCAGCCTGAATCTGTGGCTGTCACCCGCCGGGCAGAGGACAGGACTGGAAAGCCGACCAGGCCCCGCGACCGGCCTCTCCCCTCTGACAGGCCGCTTGGGGGCGCTGCGCCCCTTTCGTTTTAAAACCAGAGTTCACACACCTCATTTTGAATGAAGTGCCCATGTTTGCACGGTGTTGGAGTCAAAACAGGTGACGCACTGCCTCGGGGCCATTAATTGGTGGTGTAAAGGCGGCTCGTAGGCGTGTTCCCGGCACCACCCAGGGCGGCCCGGAAATGACGGTTCTGCGCTGGGGAAATGGGGTCAGGTGCACAGCTGCCCCTGCGAAGCATCTGAGCAGCAGGAGGTCGAGTTGCTCCGACACCGACCGGGTGAAAATAAATGAAGCCGATTACAAGTGTGCGGTGACCCCATAGGCCCCCCCGCCGGGGCCCTCATCTTTCCTACTCGGCTGATGATAAACACTGCGCAGACTGCGCACCTGAGGACCGACCCACTTCCCACCTGAGCGACAAGTGGCTTCGAAAGGCGCAGCTTCTGCGACTCAGTTGGGGCCCCAGGCAGGTGATTTCCGTGTCTTCTTCGTTAGAAGACATGTGAGGTCACCTGGTTCTAAGTGTCAGCAAACACTGAGTCTTCTGGCATATTCCCTGTCCCTTAAAGCCCACACACAGCTGGCCTGTCACAAGCACCCTCTTATTTAGTGTCCATCTTTCTCCGACATTCCTCAGTACGAAACAGGAAGCGCAAGAAATTGGTTGACGTGCTTCATTCAAGAACTCCTTTCCATTCTGCATTTGTTTATTTACATTAAAAAACGAATTCATAAATCATCCAGAAAGTTCTACAAATGTCTAAACCCTTTGGTTCTGGCAAAAGAAAAAACATGTTACTCTGAGAAACATTTGTTTCACCTCTCAGCCCCACTCATCTTGCCCATCAGATCGCCCGGTGAGTCAGATGGGACTGCTAGTCACGTCAGCAAGCAGCTCAGGATCTTACCGGTGCATCTTCACACACGACAGAACCCGCGCCGTGGTCCTGGCAGAATCTGCCTGAGACCTGGGGAAGGGGCCAGGAGCTAAGCAGTCCCTGCCCATGACCCTCGCCTGCCTGTCTGACCCCGGCCTTCTGAGGAGAGCCTGGACCGCCCCACAAAGCAGGTTCAACTGATGAAGGAAAACAAGACGTGGCTGAGTCACGTAACACTCCCATCTGTTCCCAGTGCAAGCATGGCCGTGACGACGCTAAGCTTTGGGGAGGACGCAACTCTCCTGGGTGACCTTGGCCCTTAGTACGCTCTCACGGCCTCAGTGGAGTGAGGAGATTGTGTGGTCTCACTGACCGCTGGCTGCCTGGGCCCACCTCATGCTCCTTCTGAAGTGACGTGTCTCAGCTGAAAGGGCATCCTGGCGCCGCAAAGCCCCTTCGGGAGGCCACGTGGGAGGGAGAGGGCCCTGCACGGAGCAATCTTTTAAGACCTTTGCGGAGTCAAGTGCAGGAGGATTTCACTTGCACACGCTCCAGGGAAAGCCCAATAACGACGCTAATGCCCGGATCTGCTGCTCAATACCCCAAGCTGAGGTGGCGGCCACACAGGCCCAAAGGTGAAGCTACCTCCGCCAGGCGCTTGCACACTCAAGTGGCGATCTGCTGTTACTTTGGAGCTGGCGAGCCAATTCCAGAAGCAGATGTCCCACCATTTGTCAGCGAGAGCTGACGCAAGGCAGAGAACTACCAGTCTATTTTCTTACTAGAGGTTCGCAGAAACCTGTTTGTAGCTGGGGTTTTATCCAAAAGGGACATTTTTAGAAGGGCTAGGAAGTGAGGGGTTCTGGGTGCCCTCTGAGTGCGGTGGGGCTGTGAAGTTAGTGTCTGGCAGGGGCTGGCAAGGAGTAGAAGAGTCAGGGAGGGCGACAGGGCACCGCGGCGGCGGCCAGCACAGCAGACAGCAGCCCCCACGCAAGGGCCTACCGCCCCCCAGGAAGAGAACCCAAATCCTGTGCAGAGAGCAAGGCGCCTCCCCAAGCATTTGGGACACGCGTGCAGCCGGGAGGGCTCAGATGGCAGAACTGAGCCAGCGATGCCAGCTGGGCATCGCTGGGCATCTCCTGACCTAGACTTTGCAGCCACTCCCTCCCTTCCTCCGACTGAGAAAGCGGACGTCACACCTGGCGGCTCTGCAGCCATTGTGTGTCTGCGCGGCGATGAGCCCAAGGACAAGGGCGAAGACGGGGAAGGAACACCGGGAAGTGTGGGCCCTCAGGCTGGCGCGCGTCCCCAGCCCCCGTTTCCTGCGCAGCTCTCCGTCGGCCGGTGAGTCTTCGTGGGTTGCAACCAAATGCCCGCACCCCGACCCCCCAGCGAGCTCCACGGAGGAGCGGCCGGCCGGCCAGCGGAAAGCCAGAACGAAGTGCAATGGGAAAGGGCAGCGGGCGCCGCCCAGAGCGCCCAGGGCGCTGGGACACAGCTCCGCCCCTTCCCACCAGAGGCAGAGGCCCCCAGGGAGGAAGGCGCGCGTGGCATCGCTAAATTCGAATACAGAGGCCCAGCGCGCCAACCGACCGTCAGCAACGTCACTGCCTGCCTTGGGTGGCTAGGGGAAAGCACATGCTTGCGCATTACAGCTGGCCGTTTGCAGCCTACAGAGACGAGGATGGAACAGATTTGGAATCTATTCGGCATTTCTCTAGCAATCCAGTTGGAGGAGTTCCCACTGAGAACTCCTAGGCCTCACGTTCTCTGCAGCCAATTTAATAAGGTCAGAGAGGAAAAGCAGCAGCCTGTTCAGACACTTGGATACGCTGTCTGGAAGTGAAAGCACACTCGTGGAAGCCGGCCGGAGAGAGGTCACGGCCCATGGAAAGTACCAGATTGATCAACATTTAAGGATGCACAGGCCGGGCCCTCCCCATGGCGCCGCGGCTGAAAGCGCAGCGCTGCAAGCCGGCCGCAGCCACCGCAGCACGAGCTGCATCCCAGCCAGAAGGTGACTCCCAGGGCGCGGCAGGCCCCTCCTGGCTCCCCGCTGCTCCCCTCGGCAGTGGACTCCATCAGCTCGCCTGTGTGCCCCCCACTCTGTCCCTGGGAGTCCTCTCAGCGCCCCTCACCTCTGGCCTGTGCCCCAGTCCTTGTGTGCATAAATAAATACATCTTAGAAACAAAATGCGCAGGCAACAGTAATAAATAAACGAAGTAAACGCAATGGAGGTGTAAATCAACGAGGGGTGTGTATGTCCGCAAAGTGAGGGCGAGTCCCGTGTGGCCGGCAGTCCAGGGCAGCCTTCCGCAGGGCGGCGCTGTGCCGCGCAGTCCCGAGGGGCCGGTCTTGCGTAGAGAGATGCTCTCTCCACAGCGCCGTGGCGGGCCGGGTCAGAAACTGACGGACAAGCCAGAGACCCGGCTGGAAAGGGCGCCGGGAACGGGCGGGCCGAGCGGCCTTCGCTAGGCTCCTTCACCGCTTCTCCCGTCCGCAGAAAGCGCGAGCCGCGTGGGAGTCAGACCTGCCGCGGCAGCCCAGGCTCGGCCGTCGGAGGGACGCTGGCACGCCGAGGCCCCCTTGCCTTTGCGACTGGCGCTTCGCCACAGCCGCTTCCACACGGGCGAGCGCGTCCGAACTCCCTGTGCGCAGCGCGGGAGGCGGGCAGCCGCCCGCCCAGCTCACGGCCCTCGCAGCCTGCGGGTCACCGAGAGCAAGCCTGACGCTCAGAAGGGGCTGCCGCGGGGAAACGCTACCCTGGGCGCTTGGTTTTGAAAAAGGGTCCGTGGTCTTCTCTTCCTTGCAAGCCAAGTTTGTTTCCCGTCTCCAGCTCACGGCCACTCGCTGGGGTAGTAACTTAGTATTTATTTTTTTTAATGACACAGTTGTGTTTTTCTCAAAATAACTGCCACCTTGTTTCTAATTAAACATGATGGATTCAGGGTCCTGGTTTGCCATCTGGGCCATGTGTCTCAGAACATCCTTTTTGGTGATGATGCCAAGCAGTCTCCTGGGGAAGAAACACAGGAGAGAAAAGGGGTGAGCCTCGCCGGGACGAGCCTCGCCGTGACGACAGTTCTGCCTAAGCCCCAGCGTCCCTCCCACGGGGCACGAGGACAGGCAGCATCGCCCAGGCTCCCCTGGTCGGTGGGGCCACCCGACTGAGCTGGCCGACGGCCTGAGGGCAGAGGTGGGCGAGGCCTTGCGAGCCCCCGGCCCTCTCCCCTCTTCCGCGAGCCAGGGAATCGGAAAACGCGAGCGCATTCCTCTGTTCACAGCAGCAGCGCAGGCCCGGGACCACCTACCTGCCCGGTGCCGGGTGACCGACAGAGAAGCTGCAGGATGTATACAGAAAAGAAAAAAGAAAAGCTGGCCCGCCCCGGTGGCCAGCGGGTTGCAGCACAGCACGGTTCGACCCCCACCCCGGAGGTGACCCCAGGGCACGGCAGACCCCTCCCGACCGCCCAATGAGCTTCGCCAGTCTGTGTTCCGCTCCCCACCGCCTCTGGGGAGTCCGCTCACCGCCCCTGCACCTCTGGCCTGGACTCCAGTTCTGTGTGCACAAATTAATAAATCTTTTTTTAAAAGCCTCAGATTAACAAAAATATTTTTGAAACGGAAAGAAAAGCTGTCCCTTGGGGGCAAACTGCATGAATTTTTCTTTTAATTCTATTTTTTTTCTTTCTCGGGTGCAGCTCCAGTTCGCCGCCCGCCACCACCAGAGTCCCTTGCGCTCCTCCTGGCCTTGTTTGGACCCCTCTCGCCCCGCAGAGCGTCTGATTTACAGCGGCTGCTTACTGTGGCTTGGGCTTGTTGTTTCCCTCACCCCTATATTCCTCCTATAAGCGGAGACATCCGTATTTTTCCCTCCTGACTGACTGCACTGAGCCTGATCCGTTCAAGCTCAAAACAGACGGATCTTGGGGGTCCCGGTTCAGTGAAACAAGTCAGAAAGCAAAGACGGCTCCGGGTGCTTTCACTCACTTGCAGAAGGTGAACAAGCAGAGAAAACAGGCGAAGCACAACAGAAATAACGCCTGGACTCTGAAAGCTACGCGGTGCCGGGCGGGTGGGAGAGGCGGGGGCAGAGCGGGCAGGGGAGGGAATGGCCGGGCTCACTCGGCCACACGTGGGGGGCTCCCCAAATTATACCCTCATGGAAACAGCAAGTCAATTAAACATTAAAGCCTCCAGGAATGTGGCCTAGATATGGAGCGATACAATGTGTGACTGCTACTCTCGTGTGGCGACAGCAGGGTCCCCTCCTCTGGGCGACATTCACAGTAGCCAAAGCCCCGAGCCACGGGCCCTGCATTGGTGAGGCGACACACTGGTTGGTCCGGACAAGGCACGTCGTTTAGCAGCCAGGACAAGACGGAGGAATGGGGGGACGCATGACACCCCCTCAGCTTGGCTCCTCCACCTGCGACCTGACTTGGCGCTGGAGAGCCTGGCTCAAGCCGCCCCACTCTGGAACCGCGGCTGCCACCACTTCTATGCGTCAGGTCCATGCTCCCCAGCAGAGAAGCGCCTCGTCTTTAAGAATTTTGGCAACACTTTGAGCCGTCTCCAGTTCTCAGTAAGATACTAAGACAGGGCGGCTTTGAAAAAAACTAGGCTTGTTACGCTGGCAACGCCTGGGAGCCGTGAAGACAGACATTTCCGGCCACGCCGGACCCGAGGGGCGGCAGCCCCCGACTCTGGGCTGAACCCGGGGCTCAGCCCTCCCGAGTTTCGGAGGCAAGTTCAAGTTGGAGAAGCGCTGCGCTCCTTCAAAAGCCGCCAGCGGGAATGATCGCCAGCCTCAACGGCGTCTTTCCTTGCTGCTCAGCGGCGGCCCCGCGCTCAGGGTCAGCAACGTGGGCACAGCTGTGGGCGGTGCTCTCAGGGCAGTGAGCCGGGGGCCGTGTCAGCCGGACGGCAGGGACCAGTACTGAAGAGTCTCACAAACTCGGGGTCCCCTCAAAGGCAGCACTGGTGACAGGTGCAGTCTGATGAGACCTTGTCCCTGGGGGGGCTGTCCCGTGCACTGTAGAGTGCCTGTCGCAGCCCTCCTTCCAGCTGCGACACCCCAAATCTCTGGGGGGGGGCAATGCCCATCTGGCTGACAACAGCTGGGATAAACCAGAGTGTGCCAGCTCTAGAAATGGCAATGCCCTCACAGCTAAGCCTGAACTCCATTGTCTGCACAGCCCATGCCCTGTGCCCCCAGCCGACAAAGGGGTGCGCTGGGCAAACACTCCAGGTCCCGGTTGGCCTGCCTGAGCCCGTGTCTTCCTGTTCGGAGCTTGTGGAATTTGGGGCACACCTGAGCCCGAGAATGACCCTAAGGGACCCGCACCCCTCACGCCGCCCAGACTTCTAGTTTCCTGGTGCAAAAGTAACACTGCTGCGGCAGACAGAGCCCCGGGGCCGCCGAGCCGCTGCGCCCCCCCCCCACCGAGTGTTCTGGAAGCGTGGCGCTGTTTCCAGCGGCAGACATATGGGGACCCGTGAGAGGGCGAGGGGGACGTCCCGGCACCTCGGCAGCAGGCCTTCCAGCACAGCCTCTAGGTGCGGGCAGGATCAGCCCGGCTGAGCCCGGGGCAGGGAGAGCCAGAGACACTCGGCGGCAGCGGCCCTAACGCCACTCCCTGCCCCGGCCCGCTCCAGGCCCAGTGGCAGCAGAAGCGACATCCTGAGTGCCGCCTTCTGTCCCGCTTCACCATCTGACGGGTGCGGAGTGGTGCCGCCACCCTGGGGAGGTGCCTTCCCCGTCTGACTGCGCCTCTGACAAGGCCATGGAGTGTCGCGGGCCCGAGCAGCCCCGCGTTTCTCACGAGCCCTGACTCACGTTCGCGGGCCGACATGGCCAGGCGGGGCTAGGGAGCCGCCGTCGTGCCCTTGGGCTGCTTCTGGGACTCAGGGACAGCGGCTCACCTGGAGGCGCTGCCCGCCCACCCGGGGGCCGGGCACCCTGGGGCCTGGGCTCAGCCCCCGAGGGCCTGGCCACCTCCGAGCGGGCCCCGCGGCCAAGGGCCGGGGCGCCCCCGCGCTGGCCCAGGTCTGGCCACCTTCCAGCGCACACTCACCCGCTCCGCGTCACCAGGCACTGCCGGAGCCCCAGTTTGCGGAAGATGTCCACCACCGTCTCCATGGGCGTGTGGTCGGTGACCGTGAAGGGGCTGAGGTTGAGGACGCGCCGCAGCTTGAGGGGGTGCGGGCTGTTGGCCGGCAGCTCAGGGGGCTCCTCCGTGAAGTACATGATGGAGTTGCTCACGATGCCCTCCTGCCTCTGCCTGGCATTCTCTAGAACGGCAAACAGGAACCGTGAGCCCCGAGTGCGCTCGCTGGGCAACGCTCTGCCCGGCGTCCACAGGAACGCACATCTTCGCGCCGCCCTCAAGTTGCAGCTCCACAGAAAGGGGCTCTGAGCCAAGCTCCCCTTGCCCGAGGCGGGGCTTCAGCTCCTCTCTTCAGCGAGCACTGTGCCAGGCCCTGCGGTAACCTGAGCGGCCCCTGCCAAGGTCATGAAAGAGGGGCCCGGCCAGGGTGGCTCTGGGGGACTCACTGCTCCCCCGAACTCCAGCCCCTCGACCGCGCTCTCCCAGCGCTCCTTCGCCTCATCGTGGGCTAAAGTTTGACATGACGAGAAACCCGCCCCCGCGGCCGCCGGTGACCTTAACGCGCTGCTTTGCTACACACGTGGTGTCCCGGATGCCGACAGAGGCAACAGGCGCATCGCAAGTTCGCAGCCCAGAAATGCAGCCTGACCCCAGGGCGAGCCTCGGGACCCCAGAAACCGGCGCAGAGAGACCGCGGGCGCCGCCGCCTTCGCGCTCCTCTCCTAGAAATGGGCCGTTTCATGGACTTACCGAAGAGAGCACGGTCACGGGAACAAGCAGCCTATTCTGGCTACAGCCAAGGCCACGGGAGAAAGCCGCAGCACACAGCTTTATGCTACACTAGAGCCCAGGCCATTCTGGGCCACACGTGAAGGGAATCCACCGGTCTCAAGCGATTTCTAAGGCGATTTTCCTTCTGTTGGAACTGTAACCTTTCTTTTAGTTCGTGGGAACAGGTTAGGAGAAATGAACAGAGCGGCTGGCCTGAAAATGGATCCCGGTCTCCATAACCCAGTCCTCGCCTTCTCAAAGACTGCTATACTACCACCTATACTGTTCTTTGAAAAGTAAAGTTCTGACTTTCTGCTCCGGGCCATAGACCGCAGTGGAGACCGGACGCTCCTGGAACCGGCAGTCTGGGGTCCAGTCTGCGGGTCGGGCTGAATTTGCAGAGGAACAGAGGGCCCTGGGCAAATCCTGCACGCGCTCTGTCAGGTCAGTCGAGTTAGCTCAAGTGGGACGGTTCGACCACCACCGCCAGGCGACGTGTTCGCAGCAGGTCTCCAAATGGAGGGCTCCGGGTGCGCACCGCACTCGTCCCAAGACGATTCCACGCTGCAGCGCCAAGGCCCGGGGGCAGCAGCCAACACAAACTCACCTGCTCACTCCCTCACGCTGTAAAAGCCCCAAAGCAGGGCCCCACCTGGCCCACAACCAGGTGGCACGCGGGGCCTGGGTAGGACACAAACCCCAGCTGAGGACCTTTCTCACGGATTTGTCAAAGCCCTACAATCCGGGCCCACTCAGTGAACTGGGGCTCCCTTGTAACACAAAGCCCCAGCTTGCATTCTCTCGGCGCCTCCCGCGGGTGAGAGCCGCGACTCCAGCAGCTGGTCCGTGACCCCTGGCTCAGCAGGGCAAGCCCGGCGCCGGCACGAAGCCCAGCACACGGCCGACACAAAGCAGATCACTCGCCAGGTGCACGCGAGAGCCAGCACGTCTACACGCGGATGAAGGCGCGAGGACGCTGCCGGCGTCGGCGCGCGCCCGCCCGGAGGAGACAGCCCCCGCCACGGCGGCGCAGAGGCGGCCAGGAGCCGGGATCCCCGCGCCGCCGAGGGGCAGCGCACACTCCAGAACTCGGGCTGAAGACTGACCTTAACGCTACGCGCTCTCGGGGGGCGGAGGGGGCTGCTGTGCACAGGCCCGACGCGGGCAAACGGAAAGAGCCGGCAAGAGTGCGCGTCCTGTCTTCCTGCCGGTTCGGACAAGAAATCCTCAGCAGTCACCAAAAGCTTCGTCAGTCGGAGAGGGACGAGAGCGGCGGCAGTGCTTTCTGTCCTCCGGCCCGAGGGCGCACAGGACGCTCACCCCAACACCTGTGTGCGGGATGAGCCGGCGCCCGCCGAGGTGCAGGTTCCCAGAGCCCAGGGGTTCGTGCGAGTCTGCGAAGCAAACCAAACCCCAAGAGAGACAGCCCAGCAGCGTGAAAGACGAGAAGGGAATGCGGTCGGCACGGGCCTCCGCGGCCGAGCGGCCGCCTGGCGCTGGCCCTCCGCGGTCTCCCCAGCAGCCTGTGGGGACCCCCCCTGAATGCTTTAGACGTCACCAGCCAAACCATTCTTAAACACATATGCTCTGGCTGCCGCGGAGGCCTGCGGCGGAGTCTACCTACCACAAGCGGCAGCAGCGTCTGAAGCACCCAGAAACGATGCGGATTTCGCGAGGCCACCGCGGCGATGCCGACCGCGGCGATGCCCACACCAGGGCGATGCCCACACCAGGGCGATGCCCACACCGCGGCGACTCAACTCCAGGTTCCACTTTCTCGCAGAAAGATGAGGGCAATGCCAGATGCAAAGGGTTAAGAAAGTGAATTTCGCAAACCAGGTTAGGTCAAGAAGTTTTGAACTGGAACTACTCACCTCCCCACTCAACTCTACCAGGGCTTCAAAGCCAAAGGTTCTCCACTGGGGCAATCTTCCCAGGCCCTCAGGGAGCGTCTGGCAGCATGTGGGGACCTGTTCGGGTGTCGCGGCTGGGGAAGAGGGCAGCCACTGGCCCCTGTCCCGCAGAGGGCGGGCGTGCTGCTCGCCACCCTGCAGGGAGGCAGCCCCTCCAAGCTGCAAGCGGCAAGGTCGGGCACGCCTGCGCCGGGCAGTGGGCCCCGAGGAGTGCTGTGGTAGCCCCCATCCCATTCGCTAGAAATGCTGCCGTGCAGCTGACGTGGCACTGAGAAGGCCATAAAGGGACGCCCGGAAGCAGCCGTGGTGGTCCGCACCCAGATGCTGCGAGCAACAGAGGTAAAGATGACTTAGAAGAAAGAGTAGATTATTTCACAAGCGCAGAGCTTGCTAGACGTACGCTCTAGCGTCCTCGGCAGAGAGAAGCAGATGACGCCTCTTCCCCGTGGCCTGTTCCGACAACGAACAGCCCTCCCAGCGCCCCGGCCCCGCCGCCGCCGACGGCTGCTGCAACAGGTCTGACCCTGGCTGCCTGTCGGCCCCGGACTGAGATTCTCTCAAGTAAAGCACCTGCCGGGGCTGGAAAAGCTCCTGAAGGCGCGCCAGGTGAACGCAGTGAGCGCCCCGAGCTCCTGCCCTCACTAACTCTCCGTCCTTTGAATCATCTCGGCGGCTTCCCACGGAGACAGCCGCGTCCGCGCCAGCAGCACCAAGGTGAAGTCCCACTGACTTCGGACACACGGGCGCGCGGCCCCGACGTGTGCCGGCGAGATGGCCACACTGCCCAGGTGGTGCCAGCTGATTGCTCTCGAGCGAGGATGGTGACTGCGGATCGGCCTCCCAGAGGCGGACAGGAAACGCCACTCTCAGCTTCCTGAGAGCGGTCACAATTCAGACAGGCATGTATGCAAAGTCCTTCCTCGCCTCCCCAGCACTCTCCCCTCCCCACAGCGCCCTGCACCTATTACTGCTGCCAGCAGCCGACAGTGGCCGGCAAGGGGCAGCCACTAGCCAAGTGCAAATGCCACCTCTCTAAGTTCACGCAGGGCGTACAGTGCAGCGAGTGTGGAAACAGCTTCCCTGATTGCTCGGTGGGAAACACTCCTTGCTTTCCACACAGCACGTAAATAACAGCTTCGACGCGACTGCAGGGCTGACTGAAAGCATATAGGTGTTATTTACACCGCAGGCCGCCTCTTCAGGCATTCCAAACAGAGCTTCCAGGAGGGCACAGGCTGGCGAGCTTAAATCCGCCTCTAGCCACTTGATGACAATTACGCTTCCCACCTGATTACAGTAATGGCTTTCAGCAAGATCTCGAGGCTGTCTTGGCGGGTGCGCCTGGCGCTGCACAGCAGGCAGCGGGCTGGCTGTGTGGCATTTATTACTTCGTTTTTAAATTTCAGCCTTGCTTAAAAGACTTTAATGACTGAATAAATTTGTAAAGGCCACTGATTACATTATTTTTAAACAAACCCGGCCCCACGTCTACAGCTTTTAAAAAGCCTCATTGTGTATAGGGCAGTAATTATGTTAGGCGGCAGCACCCATGATGAAGAAACGTCCCTGAACACCCTTAGGGCAAAGGCGCGATCGTGTCTGCAGGACGCATCAAGTGTTGCTTTGGGGGAGGCGAATATGCTGGAGCAGCACCGCCAGCGCAGACGGGCAGCTTGACTGTCTGGAGCCTTCGATGAGGACGCGTAAGATAATGTAAAAGCTGTGTAACATCAGGACAAGATCTTGGCGATTCAAAGGCAGAGCCCGAGAGCTGGAGCCGGAGGGCAGGTGCGTGAAGCACCGCCGGGGGAGGCCCGTCCCACCGCGTGCCAGGCCGTGCCAACGCCACGCGCCCTCGGCAGGCAGAAAGCAGAGCGAGCTCCTCACGTGCACGTAGTGAGACGCCACCTCACACCCACAAGGATGGCCCGCTTGAACAAGCCCCCAACAAGAGCTGCAGGGGAAAAGCGGGGCAAGAGGGCACATCGAGGGTGGGACTGTCACCTGGTGAGCCAGTGCGCAAAGCCACCTGGCCTCACCTTACAGAACTAAAGTCGGAAATGGCGTGGGAGCTGCCACGCCGCTCCTGGGCACGCGTCTGAGGACCGCAAACACGCTGTGACGCCCAAGGCGTGCACACAGGCTCCGTGGCCGCGGAGCGCTGTCTCAGGACGCGTGGCCTCCTCACGTTAGGCGCCGCTGTGAGCCAGAAGACGACAGGCTGCCTGTGCGGGCAAACAACGGCGACCAGAGGCTGATGGGCAGTGACGCATGTCGGGGCGACCAACACTGGACACCCGTGCAGCAGCCGCCTCCGCAGCGTGCCAGCTCCTCAGAGCTGCAGACAGCAACAAACTGCGGGGGGTTCCTGAGGCTGAGGGGGGGCAGAGGCTGGGTCAAGGGGACGGAAGAGACGGCGCTGGGGTGAAAACTTTAAAACAAATATAAAATAAACTATGCCAATAAACGAGAGCTCACAGGCAGCCGGCCAGCCTGCCGACGTCTGTCTTGAGGGTAGTTTGGCCGGGCCGGCGAGGCTCCTCTCCTCAGCCTCACCCAGCACCTCCCCGTCAGCGTGGGCAGCCCCCCGGCGGGACTGGGCGCGGGTGGCGGCCCGGCAGGCTCTCCCGGGACACTGTCCCTCCCGTGTCCCCGGGGACCAGGCACATCAGCCACAATGGCGAGCCGGCACATCGGCCCGCCACCTCTGACTGAATCGGAATCTGCGTTCACACCAGATCCCGGGCCCTGTGACTACACCTTAAAGTGTGGAAACCCCCAGCTGAAGCCCTCTGACTCCCCAGTTCTCTCGAAGCTCTGGCAGTCCGGGGGAGCAAAGGCCCACCCACTCACGTCTTCACTCACTTATTGCAAGGATCAGCTCCCGCCTCTGGGCAAATCCGATGAGGCGCTCGGAGTCTCTGGAGACCACCACGGGGAAGCCGTTGTAGTCGGTCTCCTTGATGAGCGTCTCCACGTCCTCCACCGTCATGCTGTCCTGGGTGAGCACAGACAGCGGCGGCTCCCCCCGCCGGGGCCGCATGACGTCGGTGGCCAGCGTGCGGTGGGTGAACTCGTCCTTCACGTCCAGGAACGGGTATCCGTTCAGGTGGATGTGGGCCTCGTAGATGCCCTCTTTGCCAAAGGCATCGGCCACCCACTTGCTGGTGACGGCCGCCGCCATCAGCGGCACAATGTACTCCAGACCGCCGGTCAGCTCAAACATGATGACCACCAAGGACACCGTCATCCTGGTCACGCCACCTGCCGCCGAGAGAGGAAGGAAATTCGCAGTCAGCTCTGGGCCCTCAAGAGAGTGTAGACTCGGGCGGTGACAAGCTGGGCAGAAACGGCCATCATGCCTGAGGCGGGGGCACGCCCACACGTGCCACATTCTAAGGCCGCCTGCGCCAGGGAGCCGAGGGTCCCAAAGTGGGGCACACGCTCTTGCTTTCTTGGTGAGTGGCTCCTCCGTGGGCTGCAGCTTCTGACTCAGCCAGCGTGGCTGTCTCCCAGAAGCCCAGAAGTCGGGAAACTAGAGACTCGTAGCAGTGGGGACAGGAGAGGAGCCCCCTCGTGTCCCCCCTGGTGTCCCTTGCTATTCAAGGGGCAAATCCGTCCCACCCCCAGCCTCCCAATGAGCATAAACCAGCGTGGGGCCCGACGGTGGCTGACAGCGACCACCGGGTGCACCATAGGATGTAGAGCACTAGATGCCAGCAGCGCCCAAGGTTGACAACCCAAACTGCCTCCCGCCGTTGTCAAATGTCCCTGAGGGGAAGAATTGCCCCTGATTGAAAAGTGCTATTCTAGGGCCTCCCTGGTGGCGCAACGGGTTAAAGCGCAGCACTGTGAAGCTAGCCCCAGCCACTGCAGCATGAGTTCGATCCCCGGCCAGGGAGTGACCCACACGACACGGCAGACCTCTCCTGACCCGCCCGCTGCTCCCCTCAGCAGTGTACCTTATCAGTCTGCCAGCTCTGCTCCCCACTCTGTCTCTGGTGAAGCCTCTCTCCCCCCTTGCACCTCTGGCCTGTACCCCAGTTCTGTATGCATCAATAAATAAATCTTTTTTTTATTAATATTTTTTTAAAGATTTATTTATTGATGCATACTGAACTGGGGTACAGGCCAGAGATGCGGAGGGTGAGAGGATTCACCAGAGACAGAGTGGGAAGCAGAACAGGCAGATCAACGAAGTCCACTGCTGAGGGGAGCAGCGGGCGGGCCAGGAGAGGTCCACCACGCCATGTGGTCACCTCCGGGGCAGGCGGGGATCGAACTCATGCGGAAGTGGCTTTAGTTTCTCAGTGCAGTGCTTTAACCCGCTGCACCACCAGGGAGGGCCCAATAAATAAATCTTTAAAGAAAAAAAAGAAAGACAGAAAACCGCTACTCTAGAAAGTACAGCTGCAAGATGGTGCAGACTCCATCAGCCTGGCCCCTGAGTGACTGAGTGGAGCAGAGTCCTCTGCTAATTCACATCACACCACGCCACACACACAGGTCATTCTCATTATTGCATCACTGCAGGCGTGGTGCTCTATGAAGTGGCCACACTGCACTAGCAGTTCCTGAGTCACTGCCCTGGGGGACAACATAAGGTGAGGCGTCTGCCAGGAGACTTGTCGACCAGTTAATAAACAGGCACGCTAACACCTTATGTCATACGTATCTCTGCTCACAGACACCCTAGTCACATATACCATTGACTCACTGACACTGAACGCCCCCGCCACCTCCCTGGTTCACATAAGCCTGAACAAAGCTCGTGTGACACGCGGCTTTCTCTGTCAGCGCTTCAAAGCCTGGGGCACTTAGGAACCGCAGGGCCGCTCTGAACGGCAGAACCACTAACAAAAGGCACAGGCAGGCGAAGCACCCAGCGCCGAGCGGGCCAGGAGAACACCTGTATGCGGCGTGAGAGCTGAAACAGGGTTTCGCTCTTCAGCCCCAACGGGAGCATGCGTGTAGAAAGGCTGCTTCCTGCCACCCTGTGTGCATCCAAGATGGCCGTGAAAGCCCCGCAAGCCCTGATTCGGGGGTTCCAAATTCTAGCTGGTGGGCAAATGTGCACACGTGGAATCCAGGGATGGGGTCCAGGCGCCAATCACGACCAAGGCCTAAGTGCGAAGCCACTGAGAGTCAGGGGTTTGCCTGCTGCAGCAGCACGCATGGCCCAGCCCGAGGAGATGCCCCCGCCTGGCCTTCCTTCCTGCCGGCCCTCGAAGCTGGAGCCCAGGGGCCCTCCGGCTCGCCCTTCCTCGGGGGCCGCCCCCCACCCCCCGCGGCTGTACCCCGCCCGCGTACCTAGGCAGGCCGCAGCTCCCACCATTGCATAGAGCCCTGGGGTGACACAGTCGGCCCCAGGCCTGCACCAGTTCCTGAAGATGATCCAGTCGTGGTGGTGGTAGGCCAGCTGCTCCACGCCGATGCCCACCATCCTGCCCGCCATCGCGCCCACGGCCATGCTGGGGATGAAGAGGCCCGACGGGATCTGCAGGGAGCACAGGGGCAAAGCGGCCTGAGGAACGGGCCATCCGGCTTCACCACCCCAAGCACACGCCACAGTCCGCCAAGGACGGGCGCGAAGCAAGAGGTCAGCTGGGAAGAGACGGGACCAGCGATTTCACCTGCTTAGGCAGCCGTGTCTGCCGCCGCCTGGGGACACGCGAGGGCACACTTTCACTTCCTGTCCCAAAGCGCAGGCTGGGCCGGCCCTCTGCGCCCGAGGAACTCAACCCCAAGCAACGGCGACCCAAAGCGAGCACCTGCCACTGGGGGCGCTCGCCCCCCCCCTTGCCACGCCATCCGGTTGGCTTGCAAAATTAAATGCCAAGCCGCAGTGAGAACGTGGAAAAGAAGGGCCTGGGGCTTTCCCAGGCGAGATGAGGGGGGCCTTGGCGCGGCTGCCCCGACCTTGCAGAAAGCCTTTCCCGGCTTCCTGCCCTCGTTAAGGTCCAGTGGCCAAGCACCTGTCAGAGAGCGCGGTGGGGGCGCTCCCTCTCCCTCACAAAGGGCGTTTCCCGAAGCGGACTCCGAATACTTTCGAGACAGGTTACAGGCAGCAAAGAAATAGCTCATGTGAACCAAGAGGTCAGCAGCGGCTGGGGCGCCGTCCATGTCGCTGTGTGAAAATACACTCTCGGGTGATGACGCATGTGCCACGGTCACTCCTGGCTCCCCACGTTCGGCGCGCACGTGTGGCCGCCGAAGCTGGGGGGAGCTGTGCGCAGGCCCCTTCAGACTGGCGTCCACCTGGGGCGCAGGGAGCCTGCCTTCAACCAAGGTCGAGTTGGGATCTTGGTTTCTAGAAGCTGGGACACTGCTGAGGAAACTTCCTTCCGAGCTGCCCTTCGCCCCTCATTTATTTCATCTCTGTAAAGTCCAGGCAGGCTTCTCCCAACAGCACCAAAACATGCTGCCGGCCTCCTCTTCAGACATGAAAATAACCCCTTATCCAGGAGATGATGCATCAGAGACCAGGGCTGCGTCATCAAGGGCGCCCGCCCTTGTCCTGAGAATTCGGGGTTCTGTCTGGCCGCGGCACGCTCAAGTACAGTTTTGGGTAAGAGTCTTAAAAAGAAACAAATCGCTGTACCACACAGAAAGCAACAGCACTAGATGCCACAGGGGCTCTGGGGGCTGCGCCACATTCTGGGGGAGGGGGGCAGGTCCCCAGCTGCTGCTTGCACAAGCCCATGTGCTCTGAGGAAATCCCGAGGCTGTACGCGTCTGCGTGAGCACGTCCTCTGAGGCGGAGCCTCCTCGCGTGTAAAGCGGGATCGACTCGACTCTGTTTCTAACGCGCCATCCCTGCTCAGCCAAAGGCCCGACTGCGGCAGTGAGCGCCCCCCGCCCCCAAGACACGTCAGCCGGCCCGGGACAACGCGTGTCTGCGAGCGCGACGTGGAAAGGGGCCCTCGTTCACGGTCGGCGAGGATGCCAGCTGGGCGGCTGCCACGGAGAACAGTCGGAAGTTCCTTTAAAAACTAGAGCGGAACCACTGTGGGCTCCAGCCCCCCCACGGTGTTTATCCAAAGAGCAGGGAGATGCTAACGTGCACTCACGGCTGCACCCCGTGTTCCTAGCAGCACATCCACGGGGCGAGACAAGGAGTCGGCCTACGTGCCCATGGGACGGACGGGCCAAAGGCGTGCTGTGCGTGGGTATCCCCAGCTACCAGCTACCAGCAAACACGGGCTTGGGGGGCGATGCTGAGTGAGCCAGCGCGTGAAGGGCCGCTGCTTTGGTTCACGTGCAGTCGAGATACATCGCCAGACACGCCCTGGCAGAGCACCAACACCCCCCGGCGGGGTGAACAGTGGGGGGCAGCAGAGGCAGGGGCGGGCGGGGGTCACGGCATGGTGAGATGACGCTAGAGCCGTAACGGGGGCGAGTGGAGCGTGAATGCACGCGGGGGTGTGAGGCCGCGCTCCCGGCACGACAGCTGTAAAAGCAGCAGCGGTCACCCGCTACAATTCTGGCCCTGAAACGCCTGCACTGCAGAGGCACGTCCTGCCCGGCACGGCTTCCGCCTGGCGAAAAGACGCCAAGTGCCCGCACCCGGAACCACGGATCGCAGCACGAGCCTGCGCTGGCGCGTGCGCTGCTCCCCCAGAAGGGCGAGGGCACCCCACCCCGCACTCACCTTCATGCCGAAGGTGAAGATGGTGATGACGATCTTGAAGACGAGCGCCAGGGCGAGCTGCCACATGGCGGTGTAGACCCCGACCCCGGCCGGCCGGTCGGGGATGTCGTCCACGGGCCGCGTCATGTTGGGGTCGTTGATGTAGTCGCAGAGCTGGGAGGACTCGAGGGCCCCACAGTCGTTGAACAGCTCCGAGATGAGCTCGCTCGTGCTGCGGCGCGTGTAGGGGTTGGGGTAGGCGACGATGGCGGTGATGGCGGTCACCGCGATGACCTCCAGCACCGGGTACTTGCCCAGCCTGGTGGTTTTGCGCCTCCGGCACCAGGCGATGTTGCAGCGGATGAAGAGGGTTCCCCACAGGCCCCCAAAGACCCCGAGCAGGATGAAGGGGAAGAGCTCGGCCATGTACCAGGGCGTGTGGTACTCCACGTAGAAGAGAACGAGGCGGCTGTTCCCAAATGGGTTGATGGATCGCAGCGTGAAGGCCGCCACCAGGGCTGCGAAGAAGGAGCGCCACAGGGTCTTCAAGGGAAAGTAGTAGCTGACCTGGGGCAGACAAGCAGAATCCGAGACGTCAGAGAGGAAAGCGGCTCGGCACCCCAGGGCGCTGGCTGGTGGAGTCAAGTGACGCGACACCGACAGTCAGGCCACAGCCACGGGCAGGCGCCTCGCCCATCCGTTTGACGCCACCCGCGGCGCCACCCTCGCCAACCTCTAAGGGTTGACTAGGTCTAAAGGCAGGTGGCGCGCGCGGAAGGCAGACTGCAGCGTTTGCTGTAAAAAACGAACTATTTCCTCCAAATGCTGCTGGCAGCACAAAGGGTCCCCCGACAGTCTTACCCCAAAACTGTGTGGGCAGCTTTTCAAACAATCCTCGAAAGCAGGTACTGAATGGCAAAGTTGTCCCCCTTGGAGGGCTGAGGTGGAGGCCACGGCCACACGCACCAGCCACAAACTGCCCAGCCCCCAAAGCCACGCAGGCGCTCGGCCCGCCTCACCTCCTCCAGACTGAAAAGCACCCCTCCGATGGGCGCGCCGAAGGCGACGGACACGCCGGCAGCCGCCGCCGCGGAGAGCACCTGCGAGGAAACAGTGCGAGTCGGTCAGGGCCTTCCGCAGAAACTGGTCTCGCGGTGAGCCCGGAGGCGCTCCCAGAGGCACGACGGGACCGAGTGGGGGCAAAGCCACTCGAGCTCGTCTCTCACAACCACTTTGGGCTCTGGTGGCCGCTGAGCACGGCCGACCTGAACAACGCCCTTCCCGCTCCTCACAGCCCCTACAGAAGCACGGCGCCTCCGCGTTCTCCTCGTCGGTCACTGAGACCGGCCTGGCCTGTCACTCAGCGCTCTGCAGACGCTCGTCAGCCCAGCCTAAGACCAGTGGATTCTCAAGAACCGATGCCAAAGTGCTGGGACAATGGCCCAAGCGTGGAGCACTCTCCTGTGCGGCCCCTTCAAGTGCCCCCTGCCCTGACCCTGGTGGACATGCCCGAGGCCACCCCTTGCTGCAGACCCAGCTGTGAGCCCTCGTCTAGCCCCGAGCGTCGCAGCCTGCCTCCCCGCTCACGAGAGCCGGGCTGCAGGCGGGAGCAGGGCCGCTCACCTCACGCCTCTTGCCCTCGTTCTTGCTGTACTTGGAGAAAAGGCTGCTGAAGAAGTTGCCACAGCAACAAGCCACGTGCACCAGGGGCCCTTCCTTCCCAAGGCTCAGGCCCGACGACACCACCAGCACCAGGGTCACGGTCTTGATCAGCAGGGTCCACTTCCCCAAGTAGCCCCTGATGATGAAGCCACTCAAAATGGTCTTGATCTGAAACAGAGGACGAGAGAATGGGCGAGGCTGAGCCGCCTCGAGGCCGTGGTCACGACCAGCGCTGCGGTTCCTGGGAAGCGTCGTTCACGTTCGGCCCCTGAGCGAAAGGAAGAGAGGTGAGTTTCGTTTTCGTCCCCCTCCGCCCCGCACCAAGGTTGCTGGCCGCAGCGTAACGCAGAAGCGCAGGTGGGCGCTTACTGGCCAATTCTCTGTACTCTCCTGTCAGCCTGAAATACCCTTAAGGCCACGCTGATGTCGGGAAATGATACTCAGCACTCCACTGTGCGCCTCTGGGGCGCAGACGGAGTCTGGGTCCACGGCCCCCCCTTCTCGTCTGTCGGCGCCTGCCCTCCTGCCCTGCAAAGGACTCTGGCTCCCGCCGAGCGGTCTGGCTCCGCCCGCAGATGGGCCTCCTTCCGCAAGTGTGAGGAAGCGGCTTTCTTCAGACAGGCACCCAGGAGTCTCCCAGCGCTTTCAGAACTCAAGGGGGTGCCGACCTGGGTGATTCCGCACCCTGCTGAATTCCTCTTCCGCCCAAACGGCGCCTTTGCAGACAGGGCATCGCCAACAGCTGGCCCATCTTTTCTGTGTGTCTTCAGCCTCTCCCCACCATCGGCTGAAATGGAGTGAATGTTCACCCAGCGCGAGCAGGGCAGCCGGTGCGGGCAGTGAGGGGCGGGCGCTCCCCCAGCTCCTGTTTACCACAGATGATAGGACACTTCTCTCTTGTCGGTGTGGAGATTCTTACATGACCGCAAACTGTCTCCTCGTGGGTGTCACTAGGGCAGGAAATCAGACTCCCAAACAGCTGTTGCGGGCCTCCGCCAGGCGCTCACCGCGTCGCCTGGGCAGCTGGTGGCTCCTGAGGGCGCGCTCGCGCTAGGTCTCCCAGGAGCGGGGGCTAGACCCTCCCAGGCAACTCTGAATGCAGCCCAGTCTCAGGACAGCTCCCTTCCTGAGAAGACTGCACAGGTGTCTGGTACCCCGAGTTTCTCAGCACTCAGGAGTGCGTCCTGAAGCGCTCCCCGGCATCACGTCGCCTTCGGCGACGCAGGAGGGTGTGCAATACGCTAACCCGATTTCACGCCTGTGACTGCGTCCTCTTTAGCTCAGGAATTACTGACAGAAATGTGCCTTCATTCAGGGCTCGGGAGCGCAGAGGCGGCTGGTTTGCGGCGGGGTCCGCGACGAGCTGGCGTGGGTAACAGCAGAGAGGTCTCCTAGCTGAGGGCAGATGCGGCTGCGCGCCAGCCTTTAACGGGCGGGGGACAGCGAGCGCTGCTTACACTGCTCTTTGCCTAGCGGTAGTTCATCTACTCAGTCCGTGCTCTGGGAGCTCAGAGCCCTTTATTAGGGGATGTTTTATTGCGCCTGCCACAACCCTGCCCTGTTGTGTCGCCTCGAATAAAATCATCCGTAATTTTTTGTCAGTTAGTTAATGTGGACGGGGACCCTGGGGTCCAGTTTAAGAGTGTAATAGCGGCGAGAAAATTACAAGCACCTAAATTACCTGAGCCTCTGCCAGTCGTGACATGTGGTGAATGAACAATGTAATAAGTATTTTGTAATTGTCCACAATGATTTTATGAAATTGTCATGATCAAATTAGGGGCTAAAGAAAGCAAATTCATTCCCAGCAGATGCCAAAATCCAATTGCTCACTTTCATTCGAATGAATCAACTCGGAATGAAGCGGGGCTGTAACGAGCTGCACGGCAGCGAGTCCGGTGTAGTGAGTGGCGCGCCCTGGTAAAGAAATGCTGGGTGGTCGGCGAAGTCGCAACGCATCTCGCACTGAGAACAGAAAGCGCACGTGATGCCTTGTCCGACAACCCAGTACATGCCAGGGCGTGCGGCTTCTGATCGCGGAAACATCAGCACGTCCTCGGGGACACGACTTCCTGGCACAGCGTGCAGCAAACGCCACGGAAGAGGGACACCCCTGCTCGGGCCGCTCTCAGCTCCCAAGTCCAGGAAATGGTCGGTGCGCTGCAGCGTGGCCGCGGAAGCGCTTAGTCCACAGAGAGCTGCTTCCCCACATTTGAGAAACGTTTCCCTGGCTTCCATGGCGAGTCGTCCACATGTCCCAGAAGCGAATGCTAGGGAGCAAGGGCAGTCCTGGGAAGGTCCAGCTGCTGTCTGCAGTCCCCGCGCGTGGCGGCTGTGGCGGGCGCTGCGCAGGGCCGGCAGTGCGTGGGTGACGCAGCGCCCGCTGACACGAAGGGCTGGCCCCAACCTCAAGCTGCGTGAAGTCGGTGTGTGCATTCACTGGGGCTGTGACTGAGAGGAGGGACTCTCCTCCTCCTTCTGACGCTACTTCCTCGGAGAGCGCGCTCGGCTGTGCACCCTCAAGTTAGGAGTCGCGCGCTGTGCGCGGTAACTCAACCTGGCCGCTACTCAGCCACAACGAGCCAACGTTCATTGCCAAACCTCCACCGGGTTCCCGGTGACTTCACAAGACGGTCGTGAGCCTTCTGAGTAGAAGGACTCCGTTACGTGCTTCTCTATGGCAACAAGATCAGTCAAACAAGCACTGAGTGTAAAAGCGGAAAGCTGAGCGCCTCGGGAAGCCGGCGCTTGCTCGCCCTTTCGTTCCCGTGCCGCGCCTGTAGCTTCAGGACAGAAGTTTCCAGGCAGCAGGAGGCTGCTTCAATTTGGCTGCTTATGGGCCGTACATGAACAGGACCTTACTCACGGGTCTTCTGCCAGGGGATTTTTCACTTGATACCACTGGGTTTTTGCCATTTCCTTCACATCAATCAACGTGCACTGTGCTCACATAGGAAACTGAATAAATAATAACTGGGTAAATAAAGAAATAAGTCAGTGGCTTGGTCCTTTTGAGACCCCCTGTCTCCAAATAAAGATGCCCACTGAGGCGGAGCCCAAGCCCACGCCGCCGCCCGCTGACAGGGCTCGTTTTCGAGTTCATCTCCCGAAGGGCGCCAGCCGAGCCACGCGTGCCGGGCCCTGGGCGGGGCCTGGGGCTGCCCCTCGCACCTTTTCGGCTGCTACACTCTGCCCGCCAATTCCCCACTGGCCAGCGCTGCCCGCCTTGAAGAAGCTGACGTGAGAGGCGCCTGCCGCTGGCAGCTGGGGTCGTCATCTGAGGCAGCAGCCACGATCCTTTTGCTGGTCCGGAGGTTCGGCTCGGACAACATGTTCTGCCGCAGGCTTGTGGGGAAAACACCCATTTGCACCGCCGGGGTTCACGCGTTGGGGAGAACTGAGCCTAAGGCAAATTTTGCGTGTGTTCATGCACAACCTCCTCTGGGAGAAAGGCGGGGTGAGCACAGACAAGGAGCCCCACGAGCCGCGCCGAGGGAGGCACAGAGCGCGCAGCGGCTGGAGCGCGTGCGGGGGCGTGTCTAGTGTCCGACCTTTAGCGGTGCAAGACCAGGCCGCTGCTGCCAGAGGTAGCTGGCATGTCTGTCGGCGCCCCCGGCAAAGCACACCCGCGGTGCTGGCTTCTCCCTGCAAGCCGCAGCGCCGGGACGCGTGGGTGCAGGTGCGGTCGGCTGGGCCCCTGCACCACTGCGTCGCTACAGACCACCGAAAAGTCGGCGTGACGTGTTAAGGGCTTTCTGTCTTTCCTAGAGCATGACAACGTTGAGGTTTTCTTTTCATTTCTTCAAAACTGTTCCAGCGCTTTCCACGGGCTGCCTGGACCAGGGTCTGAGCTGGCAGAAGCCATCAAGGAGCGCGCGCGTGGCCAGGGACCAGTGCGCGGCTGCCCTCACTGGTCACCAGTCAGACTGGGCGCGCCCACCCGCTCCGCACACGGCTGGGGCGCGACTCCGAGACGCCGGCCACCAGCCGCACGCGCTTTCCAGGCTGTTTTCTGCTACGATGTTCGCAGCTGGCGCTTTTCGGGAATTCGCTCCCTTGCAGTTATTCCACCCCGCAGGTCCCCGAGGTCTGAAGTTCAGCCTCAGGCGGCGCCTGACCCACTGCCCTCACACGCGCGCCTCAGTTACACGGCACTGCTGACAAATACTCGAACCCTGCAGGCGCAGGGACGCGTTCGCCACGCGGGCACTGGGCACACCGTTGCGTTGTTTAAAGACTGCCGTGACCAGCCGGCAGACGAGCAGAGGGTGTTTACTCCCTCAGGGCCAGCCACCAGTCAACCTGAGCAGCACACCCCCACGGCTCTTTCACATCCCATCGATGCCCTTCCGAGTGACGAAAGTGCCCCACTTGTGGGTCGTGGGTCACCAGGCCTGAGCCCACCGGCTTTAACAGCTATGCCCAGGCACCCCTGCCTGGCAATGGGTTGAGGCACAGCGCTCTGGGGCTGTCGGCAGCCCCTGCAGCATGAGTGCGATCCCTGGCCAGGGTGGGACCCCAGGGTGCAGCAGCCCTCTCCTGTCTCCCCGCTGCTCCCCTCAGCAGTGTATTTCAGTGGATCTGCCTGTTCTGCTCCCCACTCTGTCTCTGGGGGTCCTCTCACCCCCCCACCTCTGGCTTGTACCCCGGTTCTTGTATGCAGAGGTAAGCGAATATTTAAAAAAAAAAATTAGTTATGCCTAATTTGCAAAGACACGAGTTGAGCCCTTTGAGAAGCAACGGAACATAATGCCGAAGCCCCGGCCTGGCGCCAACCCCGGCTTCCAGCTCCGTGACCTCGGGCGAGCGGCCCAACTGCCGCTTCCGTTTCCTCCACAGTCACACAGAGGCCCTGCCCCATCTCACAGGAGGCTCGTGAGGCGAAATGAGTGAACAGGTGTCACTGCCTGGAGCTGTGCTTGGCACCCACGTGCTACCTGTTCGCCCTTCATGTTGCCGGCCCCACTCACCTCGGGAATACCTGAGCCGCAGGCGTAGGGCGCGAACACGCGCACCAGGGAGACAGCCAGAAAGGCGAACAGCAAGGCCCACAGGATGTACATCAGGTAATTGAGAATGTAGGCGCTGGCACCCTACGTAACAGAGCAGAAAGGACAAGGTGAGCCATCGCAGACCTGAGCCCCGGGCCCCCGCCGCCCCCGGGAGCCCAGAAGCATCTCTTCAGTCCCGAGCCGGCAAACGGGCTGCTGTCGGCTTATCAGCTGCGGCCACCGCTGCTGGCGACACCGTCCGCACAGACCAGCTAGCAGTGACACGCGGCACGGAGAGCGGAAGGCGACTCGGCTGTAATGGCCAGGCGGTGGAGCTGAGAGGCGCAATGGTCACGGGAATAGGACCCCGGGGCCTGTCGCTGCTAGTCTGCGAGGTAGCCGCAAGCTGCAGGAACGAGGTGGGGACTGGGACTGAGTTCTCAGTGCTGCTACTCAAGTCCAGACCCCGGGAGGGCAGCCTGGACATCACCTGGGCTCAGGCAGAAAGGCAAGCGCTCAGGACACAGGCCAGGAAATGAGTCACCCAGTCTCCAGGGAGCCCGAGGCCAGCTGACACGCCACAGGGACTCCCAGAGGGGCAAGCGCACTCACTCCCTTCAGCGTGGCGCCGCCCGCCGCTTCCCCAGTGTCTGACGTAGGGAGGTGCTTTCCGAACCGGGCGCCCCGGGGCCTGCGGCTGGGACCAGGCCTGCCATCTCTCCAGGCCCAATGCGTGCCACCGTCTGGTCTGCTCAAGCGAGGGGAAGGAGAGTGAGGTCACCTGCAAGGCAGCCCCTGCACACAGGCGCGTGAGGCCCTGACATGCAGACACATCCCAAACGCTAAAGGCACTGGCCTTCGCAGCGCGTACATGCACTGGCTGTGCTGAGAAACCAGAGCGAAGGATGTATTTCACCCACGTGGAGATGTGCTGTTTCGAGACTAAAAATAGCTTCTCACTCTCGCTAACAGTAATTCTTTGAACCAAAGTATAAATCTCAGAAACAGTTGAAAAGATGGACAGCTATCCCCCAAAAAAACATTTGGCAAGAAACAAACATGGCGGCCAGCCAATCTGCGGGCCTGGTCCCACCCACCCAAGAGGAGCACTGGTTTCTGGAGGTAATGGAGCGCTCTGAGAACGGGCGCGATTTCAAGATCTCTGTCTGTCTCTGAGACTTGAAGGAATTAATTTTCAATTCTACCGAGGAAGAGTTGGCGGAACGGTACATGCGTTCCAAATGTCTTTCACTGGGTGAGTCAGTCGGGAAGAGTGGGGACATGTATAAAATAGCTTCCAGCTCTCTTTCCAGAATATTCTGGGTTGAATAGTCCTCACATTATGCCTAGTATGAATCTCGGCAACCCAGCCTCCAAGTTTCTGCTCTGTTGGTGACCCATGGTCATGTGGCGACCACTAAGTTTGGTAAAAAATTAAGCCCTTGGGCCCTCCCTGGTGGCACAGCGGGTTAAAGCACAGCACTGAGAAGCTTAGGCCGATTCTGCATGATCCCCGGCCCGGGAGGTGACCACAGGGCGCGGCAGACCTCTCCTGACCTGCCCGCTGCTCCCCTCAGCAGTGTGCTTCGTCGATCTGCCTGTTCTGCTCCCCACTCTATCTCTGGTGAAGCCTCTCACCGCCCCTGCACCTCTGGCCTGTACCCCAGTTCTGTGTGCACAAATAAATAAATCTTAAAAGAAAAAAAATCAAGCCCTTTCCTGAACTGTGATTTTATGCAGACCGCATGCAGTTGGAAGCTACCAAGGCAGCTCTCTCCCACCCTGGGCCGGGCACCCCCGTCTGAAACACCCTCCGACGTGTGCTCCTAAGAGGCACTGGATAGTAACTTCAAACACAGCGACACTTCACACCTGCGAGGGGTCGTCAAAAGCGGGTGATGACGGCTATCGGCGAGGACGTGGCCAAATCTGGCTCTGGCGCACCGCTGGTAGAGACAAAGCAGCGCCACCCTTTGGAAAACAGCCTGGCGGTTCCTCAAAAGGTTAAACATGGCGTTCCCTTATGATCCAGAAACTCCACTCCTAAAGCTCTAACCACGAGACACGAAAACATGCGTCCACGCAAACACCTGCACGCAAACGGCCAGGAGCCACCATGTTCACCAACTGGTGACTGGCTCACTGAGTTGTGGTCGACCCACGTGGTGGAATACTACTGAATCCGGAAAAGGAACAAAGTACTTACTTATGCTACAACATCAGCCAACCTGAAAAACAATGCGCTGAGTGAAAGAAGTCAAACACGAAGCCCACGTCTGGTACCATTCCATTCACGTGAGCCGAGCGGACGCAGGCCAGCCCATGGAGACAGAAAGCGACCAGTGTTGCCTAGGGCTGGCCGGCATGGGGGACTGCTAATGGAGACAAGGTTTGATTCGAGATGATGAGAATGTTCTATAATTAGATTGCAGGGAGGGATGGCCTCACAACTCTGTGAATGTTCTAGAAGTCACTGCATCGTGTCGTACAAGGAGCACAAGTCGAATGCAACCGCTATCTCACAAAAGCTGTTACTTAAAAAAAAACAAAAGATAGGGCCCTCCCTGGTGGCGCAAGGGGTTAAACTGCAGCACTATGAAGCTGTCCACAGCCACCGCAGCACGAGTTCGACCCCAGGCCAGGGCGGTGACCCACAGGGTGCAGCAGACCTCTCCGGTCTTGCCCACTGCTACCCTCAGTTGTGTATTCTGTCACTCTGCCTGTCCTGCTCCCTACTCTGACTCTGGGGAATCCTCTTACCCCCTGCACCGCTGGCCTGTACCCCAGTTCTTGTATACGTCAATAAATAAATTTTGTTAAGAAAGAAAAATAGTATCTTTTCTCCTCAACTAACTAGAAGGTCTAAAAATCAACCCTATTTCTTCAGCAGGATCAGCAGATCAGTCTAGGCCAGAAAAAATAGGGCCACGCACCAGGCTTTTAACAACAGTCGTGTGTGGCTTCATGACGGGAGCACGCTGAGAACTGCGCGGCTAGGCCATGTGGCTGGGCCCGCGGCTGATGGGGCTGAACCTCGCTGGCCCGGCCTCGGGCACCCGAGCCCCACGGTGTAGACTGCTGGGACGTCGCGCCGCCGAGCGAGACCGCTCAGGAGGCTGCGCATGCCCATCGGTGGGGCAGGGCTGTGCGGCTGACGTCTGGCCAGAGCTCGTAGCGCCAAGCGCCGCGAGTCTGCTCAGGGAGCGGCGCCGAAGGCTGGGTGGCGGGGAGCCCCCGCACCCCTGAGGTGGCAGGCCCGGCCAGGCCCCAGCAGACACCCACCTCCGACTGATTCACCAGCAGCTCCGACCATTTCTGCCACAGAGGACACTTGTCCCTGTCCTCAAAAGTGGTCTCGTTGGAGGTCCAGCAGCACTGCTCGTGGCTGTACCAGAAGGCGGACAGGCAGACCCCTTCCTTCAGGTCGGTCATCCAGTCCACGGCGAGATCGATGACCCCAGCCAGGGTGCCTGGAAGAAGCAGACCAGCCCTCAGAGCCCACCGGGCAGCGCCGGCACGGGCGCGGGGCAGCGGGCGAGGCCCCGCGTGGGGGACGAGGAAAGCACCGCCCCGCGGTCACGCACCGGGAGCTGCGGGACTCCTGCGGGCCCCTGAGCCCTGACAGGCGGCGAGGCAGAGGCCAACGGCCTGCCATCGTCGGTGGCTGACGCCGGGCAGGACAGACACCAGGGTCCGCCCTCACCACAGCCAAGGCAGCCTTCGGGGCTGCAGAGGTCAGACGGGCACGCCAGAAATGGCGTCGGTCCTCGGCGGCTTCCGCGCGGGGTGCCGGGCCCACCCGGAGTTTCTCAGAGAAACGTGACAATTCAGCCAGAGGGGAGACACAGCGGCTACAACAGCCTCGCCGCTTAAGTAACGCTCTGCCAGACGGCGACCAAGGTGGCGAACAGTCCCCTGTTCGAACTTCCTGGGTTTCTTAAATGACAGATAAGGGATTATGGAGCCATGTAAGCAAGTAACCGAAGGCTGGCGCGGCGGAACGATCAAGTGGCGTGGGCTGTGCGGCCCGGAGGGCCACGTGAGGCCTGTCGGGAGCAGCCTTCTGTAGTCTTTTAAGTAGGCAGGGGGTATACTTCAAGTTACTTAATGTTTCAAAGTTTCGCCGGCTCTTTATTCCAATCTCAGTTCCTCGCCTGCACCAGCACCAAAGCCATCCCACTTACCTGCATCGGGGAGCCCCTGTCCCTGCCCCCCATTCCATCAGAAGTCACCCACAGTTTGGGGGAGAAATGGTTCCTTCCTCAAACATCTGGCTCCTTGTATCTGAGAGCAGGCTCCTCGTCAGGCTTTCGCCTCTGCACCACCTCAGACAGTGCTGTCCTCCCCCAAACCAGCACGTGCCTACTGCCTTCCAGACACCAGCATCTTCATCACCCCCTCCAGGAAGCCTTCCCTGATCTCCTGTGTCTGCAGTGGCATCCTTGCCAGGCATGCCCAATCACCATACCTAGCGCACCACGGCACCGAGACCAGCTCCCCACGAGTGTTCTGCTGTCTGGTCTGCACGCCGCTGGGCGTCAGGCTAGAAGTGCAGGCCTGCTGCCACGGAGCGGGTGCGAAGCATCTGCCCTGCCACAGCTGGCTGCATTCGTGGGTGCCCAGTGGGAAATACGCACGCACGCTGCGTGAATGAGCGCCCTGCAGGCCGGGAAACCAGAATGCTCGCAGCCAGCCACATGTCCTGTTTACTGAGCAGCTACTTTGCGTGTGCCAACCTGCGCCAGCAGTGCACAAAACGGACTGGGGCCCGCCTTCAGGAAGTCACGCCTCAGGTGGAGAAAGACTCCAGACACAATAAGTGCTGCAGAAGGTGCTAAGTACTAAAGAAAACAGCACGCACTGCGACGCACAGCCGAGTGGAAGCAGTGTGGCGCACCTCGGAAAGTTAGCTAGGAGCAGAGCGGCGGCTGCTCGCGTGGCTAACGCCCCAGAGAAACGCAACCGCCATCATGCAGGCTGGCCCACAGCAGCCCGAGTCACAGCAGCCGGCCAGGGTGACAGACACGCGCCCACCGCCTGCTGAGCGGGACAGAACACCGACCTCCCATCCGTGCCCTGCAAGGGTGGGCACCGGTCCGCCCCGCAGCCTGGGTCCGCCTGGAAAACGCTGCTCTGCAGAAAGCAGCTGATCACAAAGGCTCCCATGTTGTAACCATGTACTCTGCGATGCCGTGGGCACGAGATACCCAGGCTCGGCAGATCTGGAGACAGGAGACAGATTCGTGGGTGCCCGGGGCTGGGAGGAGGTGGGGGCTTGACAGCCAAGATCTTTGGGGCAAATGTAAACGCTCTAAAACTGAGGAAAGGCTGGGTGCACAACTCTGAGTACGTTAAAACCCCCCGAGCTGTACGCTGGACCTGGGAAAGGTGCATGGGGGTGCGGCGTGTCTCAGGGGCGCTGTCACAGCGGGCGAGGGGTAAGGCTCGGACAGGGAGCGATGCAGTTTGCAAAAACGGGGGTCAGGGTGCAACTCACAAGGCGTAGAAGCAGTGCTCCAGACATCCAGGGGCAGAACCCAAGGAGTCCCAGCCATCTTCACCCCTAATCCCGGTGTCTCACACTCATTTCCCGCCGCCTGCCTGCCTGCCTGCCTGCCTGCCTGCCTGCCAGCCTGCCTGCCTGCCTGCCTCTGAAGGGCGGGTTGCGGCCGCCTTTGGTGGAGCAACAGCGACACCCAGTGGTAGCTCCTGAGAAACGCTCTGTAGCGGCGACAACGTGGGGCCTCTTCCTCCCGGGAGTTCCCAGGAAGGCCAAGGGCACGGACAGGGTGACAGGCCAGGCAGTGGGACCCTGGGTCCTCGCCACCTTCAACTAGCTGGGAACAGGAAAGCAAATGGGGCAGTCTGCGGGGTTTCCCTCATCTTCAGTACCATCCACCCTGTCTTCCCCCCTGGCGGTCAGGAGACGCTCCCCGCTCCAGCCGCAGGGACCAGAGCCCCACTCCGTGCGGGAAGGGCGCGGGGCAGAGGCCGGGATCCGCCATCACTGCCTCGCGCGCACCAGTCACCTAGCGACGCGAGAGCACGCTGCTCAGCGCCAAGCACTGTGTGCGCCTTCTCCCCTGGCCTCCGCCCGGCCCCCTGCAGAGCCACAGCAGGGGCGCTGCTCAGTGCTGGGGCGCCGACCCAGCGCTTGACCTGTTGCTGACCTGAAGCCCAGGCAGCAGTACTTTTCCTGACCCCCGGGAGAGTCTTCCTGACAGGGCTGTGAAGCCACCGTCCACTAGCAGGGCTGGGAGCACGGCCACCGCACGGCCCTCAGGCCAGGCCCGCAATCCACGAGCACTGCTGGCCCTGGAAGACGCCAGAATGCCTACCCAGGTCTCATTTCCCGTCGCTTCCTCTTTCCTAGGAGGCAGGAATAATGATCTGGTGTGCGGCTTTACAAACCCCTTCTCAACGAAGACCTCAAAACCCACAGCTAACTCCCAGTCCGCCCCCCAAACGTCTTCACAGAAGCAGTGGAGGCGGCTGGTGGCCAAGACGTCGGAGAACCCGCTCCCTCAGCTGGGGGCTCGTGCCTGGCAGAGGGAGCCCCTCGCTCGCCAGGGCGCGTTGCCACCTGTGCCGCCTCGTTCTCCAGCAGTCACGGTTCTCGGCCCGCCGGGCGTTCCCCGGTCGCCTCTACTATTATCGGCGGCTGGGGCTCTGTCAAGGGATCTCCTAGTGTGCTCGCTTTTTCTGTCTTAGACGTTAAGCTCCACAGCCTCCTGACGGAGGCACGGCTCAGGAAGAATTTCCAAGGAGAGCTGGGTGCTCGGTATTAAGAGGGTCGTTTCCCGTCCAGGTATTCATCCGTTCGCTCCGGAAGCATCGACTGCTCACAGGCGCGGGGTTGGGATTATAAAAACAAAAGCACGGAGCCCTGAAGACCCGCCCAAAGTAGGGACAAAGGCCCTCCCCGTCCTGCTGGGTCACGTGGGGCCAAGCGTCCGAGCACGCGCGGCCCGTGGGGCCGACCTCGTGCTGTTTTACATTGGAGACCCAAACCTTCCCACCCTTTCCTGCCTTCACGCTACCCAGTACTACAGGACGTGAAATGTGTGTGCTCGATAAGACGCAGCATGGCCGGCAGCCCTCCCGCGGCGTGGCCGGCGCTCAGGAGCGCACACTGGGCGCCCGGGCCTCGCCTCCCCGGGGGCCTGGGCCTCGCCTCCCCGGGCTAGAGTTTGCCAAAGTAGGCTCGTGTGTTTGCTTGGGCACTGCGAGTAATGGACTCCTCGCGGGGGAAGGAGAAACACTCCGCACTCGGGGTCTTCCCGAAGAGCCGGCGCCGGGCTGGCGCGGGCCGGCCACGTACCCGCCAGCAGGCCGATGAGCAGCATCACCACCCATCCCGACCAGGCGTCCAGCAAGCTCTTGATGAACTCCCACACGGACTCCTTGCTTTTGCTGGTGATCTGCAAAGAAGCAAGGAGACGCCGTTGGCCGGACACGTTTTCCAGCTCACACTTCTTCCCTGCCGCTCTTCGCCTGGGAGACGGAAGCACTGAGGAAAAGAATGTAGTCAAGCAAGAAACCTCACGTCCCTGCTGCCTGCACCCCACCACGAGGCAAACGGGCGGCCTAGTGCACGGCACAGCTGTGCCACGAAACCCCCAAAGGCTCACAGCCCCGGAAAATGCCCTTCGTCAAAAAAACTCCCAAGTGTGATTTGGTCTTTGATTACTTAAAAGCCCCCCTGAAGGGAGACCTAGGTTGGGGCTGGGGCGCGTTTTGAATATGAATTACTATTCCACCACATGGTAAGGCCTGCCAGGAAAGGACCTCTCCAAAGGCTTCATTTCCTTCTTGTGTTTCCAAGGCTAAATTTCCGCAAGAACACAGGATTCGCCAGCACGGGTGATGTCACCACGCAGACGGGTGTGCGTGCGCAAGGTCGGGAGCTCCTGTCAGCCCCCACCCCCATCTCACGGAACCTGCCTCCTGGGAGGCCAGCCTTCAGCGGGAAGGCTGCCCCTCTCCCATGCCCACCCTTCGCCCTGGCCTTCGAGAGCAGCCCAGAGGCTGCTCTGTCTGCTTCGGGTCGCCCCACCTCCACACCACACAGCCCCCTGCGCCCCCTCCCCCGGGCACCCATGGTCTCGGCCTGCCCTGGCCCTGAGTGTCCTCACTTCGCCCTCCACACCCAGGCCCCGTGGCCACTCCTAAAGCCTCTGCCCCCAGGCCTGCGCCTAGGACCCCTCTCTCCTCCGCTGCGGCCCTGTCCTTGCTCTTGAGCGCTCGCCACGTGCCGGCTGCAGGCCCGGCCAGGCCAGGCCAGCCTCTCAAAAGCAGGAGCGTTCAAACAGAACTGCTGGCCGGTCCCTGGAATCAGCTGCTCCCGTGTTCTGCCCTCCTGCCAGTCACTGCCCCAGTGCCAGTGGCTCTTCACAGAATGCCAGCCCTGCTCCCTCCTCCCCGTGAGACCTTTGCGCTTTCTCCTGAGCAAACCTGAGGCTTCCTGTCTCCCCCTTCACAGTGCACCTCCGTACATCCAGCTGAGATGAGAGGAGGAGGCCGCTTTATGGCCACTTGGCTGTTCCCACAGAGGCCCAGAGCCCACGGGTCAGACTCCTGTTCCACGAATTTTCTACCGGCCCCCAGAGCCCCGTGGGCTGCCTGCCGAAATGGGCCCTGTTCTCCCGTCTCTGTGACTCGACGGGGGCCATCGGGATTTTAGACGCCTTTCCCCTCTCTTCCTGGTCAGCCTTGAAGAGCCAAATGAACTGTCACCCCTTCTGGAAAACTCTTCCCTCACCATCCCTCTTCAGTACTCAGCACCCAAGTTATCGAGGCCTGTTACAACACGCGCTGAATGCCAACCTGCTGCCAGGCGCTCGGGCACACCTGGGTGCCTCCAGGGAGCTGCCTGCATCCTGACAGATGACAAGACAGGGCCCCAGCAACGGCACCACGGCGGCTGCCCACCCAGCTGGGCCCCGAGGGGTCTTCTTCCTGGGTCCCTCCTCCCCCACCCAGCCCGAGAGGACACAGCCGCCTGCCTACCAACGCACCTGTGGCTCTCTCCGCACCTGGGGCTCACCGTGCCACGTGACCCTCCCAGGCCAGTGTTGCACATGAAGGCAGCCTGAGCCGTTTGCAGGGGCCCTTCAAGCTGACTTTCACGGCCGCCCTACCTTTCTGTGTCTGTCCGTGTCCCGAGACTTCTCCCGCAGCCAGTCGATGGTGTGGAAGTCCTCGTAGGTGCCCACGTCGGGGAAAGGCTCGTCGAGGAAATCCATGAGGTTTCCGGCGCCACTCATCACGGGGGCATTGACCATGCTACTCACACCTGGGAGAGAAAGGCCGGTCAGGAGCGTGGGTGGACATCTGCCCGCGCCTGGCCGGTGCTGTCTGCCAACCGGAGAGCCAACTGCCTCGCTCGTGGGCACACCGCAGTCTCGTCAGTCCAGGCTGCTGCAACGCAGCACCACAGGCCGGGGCTGGTCCATGAAGCCAGGTTACGTGTCGCCCAGGTGATGAGCACCACAGGCTCGCGGGCTCACCCCACAGCCACGTCTTTCTCCAGCCCTGTGGCTGGGAAGTTGAAGATCAAAGTGCGGGCAGATTCAGGGGCGGCCGGCGCCGTGGGTGTTTTGTTTTCCCAGTGCACATAAAAGTAACGTGGACCCCAAATACTAGCAATGACGCAAGCCATTGCCTGGGGGCCTACGGTTAAGTCCCAGCGCTATCACCCCCGCAGCAGGAGTTCGATCCCCAGCCAGGGAGGGACCCCCAGGGTGCAGCAGCCCCCTCCTGTCTCCCCACTGCTCCCTCAGCGGTGGGTTTCAGTAGATCCACCTATTCTGCTCCCCGCTGTCTCTGGTGAATCCTCTCCCATCCCCCCAACCCCTGACCTACAGCCTTGTTCTTCCATGCTCAGTAAATAAAAAATTAAAATAAATAGCAAAACAAAGGCAGACAAACTGTTGGAACAAGCTTAAGCAGCTGATATTCAAAATAATTTATTTCTTGCCCACTCCTCCAGTCTTGCATGGACGTCCAAGCACTTTTAGGCTGCGGTCAGCTCTCTACAAAACGGTGGGGCTGGAGGGGGCGGGGCGGGGGGCATGAGAGCGTAGCTGGGGAAGTAGGGGTGGGTCGACGGTGGGGCATCAGGATGGCACTACCTGGTGGGCGCCCCAGTGTTACTGCAGTTTAGAGCAAATAAATGTTTAAAATGGAAAAGTAAAAAGGTCGTAAGTGGGATCTTCTGTCACGGCAGCCCCGAGGGGCTGAGCCGCCCACGAGCCGCCAGGTGGCAGCGCCCACCGACGCAGCAAGCTCCGGCCAAGCGCTCACTCGACTGTGCGGTTCCTAAGGAGCAACACAGCAGCGCTCGGCGGCGTGCGACGGCCGCCTTCGGGCCGCCTCTTTCCGGCCGAGAGCTGACTCGGCTGCCGCCCGCCCTCCTCTTCTGGAAAACCGCTGCCAATGGACCAAGACCGCATCCATCGGGGCCCTCGGGAGCCGGTTTCCAGATCACAGAAGAGCGCGCTGGAAATGGAGGAAAATGCTTCGCAGCGGGACCAATGCTCACCGCCAGTTAGCGGAAACACAGCACGCGCTTCCGAGACAAGACACCGAGGAAAAACGACCTTGGCAAAGAGCGTGGAAACAGGAGTTCTAGGACGAGAACCACACAGTGTGGAATCGACGGCGAAAAGAGGTGAAGGGTGGTCATAAAAACATGCGGGTGTGGACGCTCTCGCCGCGTTATGCAGCTTTCTATCTGGAAGACTCCACCACGACCTGACGAGACTGCATCGTACTCCAGTTGAAAAGTCGCTGTGAGCAAAAGGGGCATTTGCCTTACAAGCAGTAAAGCGGCCACGGTGAGTGATTTACTGCCCGTCTGTGCGGCTCCCCTGCCTGAAAACTCTCACAGTTTGAGGCCTGAGGCCTGCCAAGCTGAAAACGATACCCGCTGACAAGGGCCCCGGAAGAATCGTGTTGCCTAAGTCAGGAGCAAACAGTAAGAAAAGGGAAGGAGTAAAACTCAAAAGCAAAGCATCCTCGTGTCTACAACAAAATAAGAGGCCAAAAGCTTCAGTCTGTGAACAAAATCTGCTGGGAGACAGCAGGCTGCGGACCGCCATGGGGTGCTCTTGTGAGAACGCCACCAGCAGGCAGAAGAATCACAGAGCCGTGGCTGCGTCATTAAAAAGGAGTTAGGACGACCTGCAATTAGCCAACTCTAGTCAGGCACCAAGTCACTGGCACAAAACATCACCCTGGGGAACAGGCCCATCTAGAAACTGGGATGGAGCCCGTCGTGTCATGATGACTGCACACGTAACCGGTAGAAGCAAGTCAGGCGCGCCTCGTGCCTGCGCTACCAGGCTCTTAGCAGCGAGGCTGGCCAAGGTGTGCGCCCATGGCCTGGCTGCCTGTCCACCTGCTGCTTCCCTTGCTGTGCCGAAGCTTTTCAAGTCGGTGCAGTCCTGCTCGTCTAGCTGTGCTTTTCGTTGGCTGTGCTGTGGGCGCAAGAGCCGAGAACTCACTAGCAAAATCAGTGTCAGGAGGTTCCCCCGTTCTCTTCCAGGACTTTTACAGGTTCAGGTCTTCCATCTAAATCTTTAATCACTTTGAGTTGATTTTTGTGGATTTGTAAGGCAGGAGTCCAACTTCTCTCCAGTGTCGTGCGGCTATCCAATTTTCCCAACACCATGTGTGGAAGGGACTAGCCTTTCCCCACTGTGTGCCCAGTGCCCGTGTATCAAAGCCAGCCGCCAGTTGACCTCATAAGCTTGGCTTTGCTTCTGGGCTCTCTACTCTGCTCCATCACTCTGTATGTTGCCTTTATGCCACCACCACCCTATTTTAATTACCGAAGCTTTATGTTTTGAAACCAGGGCGTGTGAAGCTGCCGGTTTTTTCAAGGTTGCTTTGGGGGTCCTTGGTGGTTCAAAATTGGTTTTAGGATTGTCTATTTCTGTCAAAAATGTCACTGAGCTGCTTAAATGGATAACATTAAATCTGCAGGTCACTCTGGGCGGCATGGAGACTTTAACAACTTGAAGCTTTCCAATCCATGCACACAGAATGGCTTTACATTTCTTTGTATCTAATTTCTTTCAACAGCATATTGTAGCTTTCAGTGTATACGTCCTTTGCTTTTTTGGTCAAATTCATCCCGAAATATTTACTGCTTTGAGAACTCTCCTGTTTTGCTTCTGCTATAGATTTCTTGGTGTGTGGACACCCCTCTAAAGGCCCCCAGGGTGGGTGCTCCTGGTCTGAGGGGCTGACTGCACTATATGGTCACCAGAGGGTGCTGGCGAGCAGTCGTCGCCCTGGGGCTCCCAGGAGTCCAGCAAGTGAGGGAGGGCCACTGCCTCTCTTGGGCCTCACCTGCTGGCCTTTCCCTGGCCCCCTTTAGCCCTAGCTCCAGTCTGCAGAGCCATCTGGCCTGGCAGTTCCCAGTTCTGCTGCCTGCCAGATCACCCAGTGGTGAATCCCTCTCTGGCCCACTCAGGGGCTTGTCTTCTGCCCGCTTCTGACTCAAATGCTTCCCCAGATGTGCGACAGGTGAGTCTCAGGCACAGTGTGGTAACCGAGTCTGGACACATCAGAACACCCACGCTCGGGTCCGCTTACACGACGTTCAAAAATGGGCAGGCAGAGGCCATGAAGCTTGGGGTGCCGGGGTCAGTGGTTCGTGCCCAGAGCAAGCACAGAGGCAAACGGGAGTCGGGGGTCGAGGGGAAGGTGGCAGTGGGTGATGGAGAGGGGCACGAGACGCCAGCACGGTGACAGCCCACCAGGCCAGACGCTTTGGCTCCGCGGCTTGTGGCACGCGTCGCCTTGCGCAAATTTCAGCTCATTTCGACGGGTGCTCCGCCACCAGCAAACGCAGCTCCGGGCGCGGCCTCCCCCTGCGGTCCGGCCCAGCTGCTGTCCATGAAGCCTTTTCCTGGTGCCAGCGGTGTCGCCTTTCTCTGGCACACAAGCCCTTCCCCACTCTCCGCAATCCTCCAGGTTCTGGGAAAATGGACCCCGTGGTCCAGTTGCCGGCAAGCCCGGGACTCCAGGACAGGAGCTCGCAGGAGGCAGCTGCCCGAGCTCTAGGCGGCCCAGCCCAGACACCCCAAGCCCAGGAGCGCAGGCCAGGCCCCAGGCGGGGGTTCCCTGGAGGGGTTCCCTGGGGCTGGCACGAAACCATGGGTCAGGCAGAGAAGCCGCGCTGGGAAGCAGGCCTCTGGTTCCGTGAGCGCCACCCGGAAGCGCTCACCATCGGGGCAGGAAAGCATTTTCAAACGGACGCTGTCGAGGGCCCTAAGCCCAAAGCCTGCAAGCCGGGCTACAGCGGCCGGGCGGGCGGCAGGCAGCCGGCTCTGTGGTCAGTCGGAGGGGCCGGGCCAGCCTCCGAGTGCAGCTCCCCGGGGTGGGCTGACCAGGCGCCCCGCAGGGGTCCCGGCACCAGGCAGTGGGAGCCACCGTGCGGCCCAGTCATGAGCTTGCTAGCAGGGGACCCAGAGGGCCGGTAGCCCCCCAAGAAGGGAGAGAGTTGGCCCCAGCGGCCATTTCACCGCTCGCCAAACTGCCCCAGGTCCCTGGCGTGGGCGCATGACCCAGGCGGCCAGTGACAGCCCTGGGATCGCGGGGTGCACTGGCCGTGGGGTGAGCGTGGGGTGCAACACGAACAGGAGAGTCACTGTCTATCGGCGTCAACACCCTGGGACTTGCCCTGACTTAGCCCGGATACCCTAGGCCCTCTCTCCCAGCCACCCGGAGGCCCGCAGGCCCGCACTGAAGCAAGAGAGCAAAATGGGACTGCTGCCTGAGGGCGAGAGGGAGGAGGGAGGCAGCCAGGCCGGCTCCCACCCAGGGCCCGGCTCCTCCCAGGAGCCTCTGGGCTCCTCCAGTCCGGCGCCTTAGTTATCCAGCACGTGGGACAGTCGCCGAACAGCGCGCGCAGCAAGACACAGGGTCCGTCACGGGCGCGCCGGGAGCAGCCTGCTTGGGTTCTCCTGGCTCCCAGCCGGGGCGGTGGCACCTGAGGGCAGGGTGGGGCAGGAGGACCCTGGCAAGGTGGCTTGCTCACGGCTGGCAATTGGTGCTGGCCCCCGGGGAGGCCTCAGCCCTGCCAGGGGGCTGCCTGAGTGGCCTGGCACGCGGGCCGCCTCCTCCAGAGCAGGTGAGCGGGGGCAGGGCGCAGCGGCTCACGGCCTCCACACACGGGCACAGGTCGCCTGACGCGCGTGGGAGGTGGCTCCACTCAGCCGGGACCTGCAGCCAGGGCAGCTGGCCGCCATGCCACCAGCACTTCCCAGGCTCCCTCACTGCGGCTCCC